GGCAAGTTGGTCCCGTTCAATGTTTTTTTTTCATAGGCGATTAATATTTGTATTTTAGTTAATTTTCTTGGATGTGTGTAAATAAATCGAAATTAAATTTATAATTTTTTTTATAAAGTTTAATTGACTTTATAAAAGTCGAGTAAAAGAAATTTATAACTAACATGAAATCGTCATCAGAAACTGCCAAAGAAAAACTCAATGTAATGAAAAAAAAAAATAATTTAATTCTATAAATTTTTATTAACAATTTCTTTATAAGTGGTATATTACCAAGATATTGAATTTCACTGCCATTTATTTGTAAGGTTTTTAATGAAAAGATGATTTAATCTGAAAAATTTGATGAACGCGAGAGCGGGACCGCAACTTATTATTTTATTGAGTTCTCACTATAAATAAAAATATTCACTTTTCTATAACTAAGGTTTCAAAACGAAGGTTCCTCATTTAATAAACTATTTTTCATGTCACAGACTTAATTTTGTTTTTATAAGTTGAAGATTGTTTAGGTTGTCCGAAAAGATATTTTTTCCATTTAAAAATTTAAAAAAAAATTTTTTTTTTTAAAAGTTTTATAATAAAATTTCAATTATATCCTGTTATTTGGGTTCTGTATACGAAGTGTACGTACAGAATATCTCATCATTTCCGTTTTTTTGGAAAAATTGCATTCTTTCTATTAATTTATATTTGTCAATTTTTTCATTTTCTCATGAATCAATGATTCATAATTGAATTGGGTTGCTACGCAACCTGGAAAACCTGGAATTGTCAGGGAATTTTAAAAACTCTGGAAAAACCTGGAAAAGTCAGGGAATTTTTATCGAAATCCTGGAAAATTGTTGTTTTCTAAAATTATTGTGTTTATTTTTAAAATCTAGTTGTACTTAAGTAGATGTTTTCTAGTTCATAAGTAGATGAACTTCAAAAGATTTTTATTTAAAATTTTATAAAATTTCAATTTTAAATGAATTTAATTAGAAATATGTATAAAAAAACTTAGATTTAAAAAAAATTTTTTAAACTAAAATTCTTCTGAAATTAGTTAAATTTTTTAATAATTTTTTAATATATTTAATTGATTATTAAAAATAATGGATTTATAGAAGAATTTTAGTTAAAAACACTAAAACAAATTGAATTTTGAAGCACTTACAAATGATTGCAGAAATTCAATTATTTTCAAAAGTAATAAAATTCTTCTCAGAAATTCGATTATTTTCAAAAATTTTAATAAAATTCTTTGCTTAACAATTCAAATTTTTTCAAAATAACATTAATAAAATTCTTTGCAGAAATTTAATTATGTTTAAAAATTTACAAAAATTCTCGACAGAATTTCAATTATCTTTATAAATAATAACATTTTTCTCCGAAATTCAATTATTTTCCAAACTTTTAATAAAATTGGCAGAATTTCAATTATTTTTAATACAATTTTCATCAAATTTCTCGAAAAATGCAATTATTCTTAAAAATTTTATTAAAATTTGTCAAAAGAATTATTTAAAAAATTTGTTGGTAAAATAAAATTCTTTATGAAAATTCAATTTTAAGAAACATTCAATTGTTTAATAAAATATTTATTTAAAAAAGATGTTATTGATGTTTTCGAATAATTTTCGTTTTAAAAACCTGTAAAAATTCCGTTTTTTAACCTGGAAAATCTGGAAAAATCAGGGAATTTGAAAAGAGCAAAAGCGTGGCAACCCTGTAATTTAAATTCTCTTTCCAAAGGATAATTAACGTAAAAATTTCTATTTTCTGATTTGCTGTAGACTAACATCATATTTTAACAACTTAATAATAAAAATTATAATAATAAATTTTCGGACAAACTAATAAGTTATCTAACTAATGTTAATTTTATAAAAGTTTAAAAAGTTTATTATAAGAATGTAGGTATTACTTGGAAGAGAAATAAATTCATTTCATGGAAAGTAAATTAAAAAAACAGAATAATCAATTTTTTTAAAATTACTTTCTGTGGAATAGATTACAAGTTGAAAGTATTGTTTTCAATTTAGTCTTATTGATGAATTAATTATTTTGCAATTTCTTTTGAAAAATCTCTAAATTATATAAATTAGTGTTGTTTAAAGCCAGGAAAAAGGATCGTTTCTTTCACAAAACCTGAAGTAATTAATGTTCTATCACATGTATATAATGTGTCAAGAAAGATATGAAACAAAAAAAAATTCAGAGTTATATTTTTTCTATCAATCCAAAAATGTAAAAACACACGGTGACCTATATATTAAATTATAATTGAGCATTTTAACATAATTTCACATTCTATCTTCTACTTCCTCGTGAATAACTATGTCTACTTACGATGCGAGAATAATTACTGTTTTTTAATGTTGCTTGGATATCATAAACCACCAAGCGGCATTTTTTTTACTTTCAAACAATTTTTCATTTTTAATCAACTCTCAATAGAGTTGCGATTTCTTGTTTTTCATGTACCTAAATAAAGTAAGATACTGACCAATCACCCGAATGTAGCTTCAAATTTTTCTCTTTTTCAAAAAACTATAAAGAAAACGAAAAAAAAGTTAGGATGTCGCGCGTATTATGAATATTATAAATAAAAATAAATTATGATTGTGAATCTCTTGTGGTTACGTTAATGTGATTCTAAATCGAAAAACACTACTGTAAAGAATTAAAATAAAACATACATTTTACACTTATATTTGTTGCATTTCATTTTACTCTTTTAAAAAATAGCTTTTTAAGGTGGGTACAATTTTTAAAATTTTGCAATTGCATTAAAATGTTTTCAAATAGTGCAATTCAAGACGAAAAAACCCTTTTTTATTTTTAAATCCGTCAACTGGAACTTGAGAAACAAATTTTTTAATTCTTAATAATTTTTACAAAAAAAAATTTTTTTTACACAATATTTTCAAGGATTTTTCTGAACCATATTGAGTGTCAAAAAAACCTTTTGGTTAAAAAATAATATTTTTTAGGTTTAGGTGATCCGTTTGGGAAATTCTGACCTTTTTTTCTTTGTGTATTTAAATAAAATACAGTTAAACTTACACAAACATAAGCGTAAGGCAAGAATTCAATTATTTTTATATAAATAATAACATTCTTTGGAAAAATCCAATTATTTCTATATAAATAGTACAATTTTTTGCAAAAGTTGAATTATTTTTATAAATAGTAAAATTCTTCGCAAGAATTCAATTATTTTCAAAACAATTTTAATTAAATTTCTCGACAGAATTCAAAAATTTCCATAAAATTCAATATCAACAAAAATTTAAAATTCTCTAAAAATCATTGAATTATTCTCAAAATATTTTAAAAAAATTTTATATGAAAATTAAATTACTTTCAATGCAATTTTTAAATATATTCGTCAAAAAAATTTACAGAAATTCAATTATTTTCAAAACAACTTTCAATTGAATGTTTTGAAAGAATTTAATTATTTTCAAATATTTCTATAAAATTCTTCAAAACAATTCAATTTTTCCTAAAATTTAAATAAATTCTTCGATCATTTCAATTATTTTCATAAATAATAAAAATTTTTACAGCAATTCAATTATTTACAAATTTTTTATATATTTCTTCGCAATAATTCAATTATTTTCATAAATAATAAAATTTGTATTCAATTATTTTTGTAAAAAATAAAATTCTTTTTAGGAATTTAATAATTTTCTTAAATAATAAAACTCATTGCAGAATTTCAATTATTTTTCAAAGAAATTTTTCAAAAATCATTAAAAATAATGGATTTATAGAAGAATTTTAGTTAAAAGCATTAGAAAAAAATTAAATTTTTGAGAAGTTACAAATTATTGCAGAAATTCAATTATTTTCAAAAGTAATAAAATTCTTCTTAAGGATTAAATTTTCTTTACTAATAATAATAAAACTTATCGTAGAAATTCAATAATTTGTAATACAATTTTAATCGAATTTCTTAACAAAATTTAATTATTCTTAAAAATTGTTTTAAAATTCGTTGAAAGAATTTAATTATATTTAAAAATTTGTTGATAAAATTCTTTATAAGAATTAAATTTTAAAAAACATTCAATTATTCAATAAATTATTTACTTTTTTATTTAAATAATGGAATTCTCGTTGAATTTTCTAATAAAAATTGATTTAAAAATGAATTTGAGTTAAAATTTTAGATTATAATAATTAAATATTAAAAACATTACAACGTGGATTTTTAGAAATGATTGAATTTTAAAATTAATTTTTTTGAAAAAGGTTAATTGAATTCTTTTTAATATTTGAAGTTTTTATTTTTTTATATATATTCATTTAATTGAAGAATTTGCGAATAATTGAAATTTCGTAAAATTGAATATTGTAAACAAATGGATTTGAAAATTGCCAAAAAACTTTTTTGAAAATTATTAAAAATAATTGATCTAAAGTAGAATTTGAGTTAAAAATTGTTGAAAATAATAATTGAATTCAAATGTGGAAAATAATTTTTAGTTATAAAAAAATTTAATTTATAGATTTAAGCTTAGGTTCGAGCTTCGAGCCCTGTTTTTGGTAATTTAGTAAATTTTTAAGAAATACAAAAGTCACTATAATTCACTAGCATAGGGAATTTTGTTTTAAGTAGTTTATAAGACTGATAAGACTATTAAATCACTAAATATTTAAATTAATAATTAAATAAGTAACAAATTAGAGAAATAAGATGAAATTAATTATTAATATAATAATGCATTTTTCTCTCTATTCTATTAAATATTATGTATTATTATAAATTTTCATTGAATTACCGACAGCGACAGGTGATAAAATCATTCCCTACTATTTAGGCCCCAGTCCCTTGCGTTGTAATGAGAGAGAATGCAGTAAACGTATATTTGCGTCTTTTTCTCTCCCATTACGACGCAACGCAAAACGCTGTCATGGGACTCCACCCTTAGTGATATAGGGACTTCTATACTTTATTTAACATTGTTGGTACTTCTTCTCATATATGAAATTTCACTAGCATCTGATTTCAGGGTATAAAAATATTGGTGTTTAGATTTATATAGTGCTTGACTGTGTAAATTTTTTTAACTTCACTGTTGAATAAACTTTCGTATGTGTTTAATTTAATTCTTAAAATTTGCTTACTTGATAAAATATCTAAATGTTGTTATAATTTCAGGTTAAAGAATTTGAGCACAACTATTAATCCTAGTTATGGGAAAAAGTATTTAAGAACACGGGGTGGGGCATTCCTGTGACAGGAGAACCGTGCTACGTGCAGGTGAATAATAATAATACCATTGATCATGATTGCTTCGTAAGTTTTATTCTGGAAAAATTGATGAGACAGCATAGTGAGAATCATGGCACGACCGATTGTACCCAGCCAACAGAAAATGGCTGAAAAGCTGACTATTTTAAATGACCGTGGAATCGGCATGCTCACACGTATATACAATATCAAAAAAGCTTGTGGCGATGCTAAATCTAAGCCGGGATTCTTGTCTGACAAGTCATTGGAGTCTTCTATAAAAACAATAGTGAGGAAGTTCCCGAACATTGACATCAAAGGATTGCAAACAATCACAAATTTAAGAAATGAAATTATTAAGTCACTATCCTTATACTATTACACGTTCGTTGATTTACTCGATTTTAAAGATAATGTTTGTGAATTGTTAACCACGATGGATGCTTGTGGTGTTTACATGGATATAACTATTAATTTTGATTTGACAAAAGGATATTTAGACCTCGTTGTTACTTACACGAGCTTAATGATACTTCTATCAAAAGTTGAAGATCGGAAAGCTGTTCTTGGACTTTTTAATGCTGCCCATGAAATGGTGAGATCAATTTCAAAATTATTTTTTAACGTTTTCAAATTTCACACAATTTTTAAACGCTGTATCTATACTTATTTAGTCCGATAACAGGCTGAATAATGCATTATTTCATCAAATATTTTTAGTTATTAGCAATAATTTTCAATCAAAACTTGTTTTTACAAATTTTTAATCCATTTATATTTCAATAAATTTAAATTTTAAATTCCTGTAACTTTCATCAATTAAAATCTAAATTGACTCTGAATTTAAATCGTCAACATTTTTAATCTCTTGAATTATGTAATTCATCTTATTTTAAATTTTAATAAATTTCTAATTCAATCGTAATCGTTTCAAACTTCAATTTGTGCATTTTTTTATTGATTTATGCTTTAAGAACAATTTAGCAAAATTTGATAAATCATTTTCTTTCTTAAAAATAAGATTTTTGTGAATTGTAAATTTTTGTGATTAACTACAATAATCTTCGTAGGTATTTTTTCTATTTCTATGACAATAATTTCTTTTCAAATAACTTAATTAAATATTTAATAACTTAATTCTTGAAGAATTATAATAAAATTATTACTTATAAATTATTTAATGAAAAATTTTAATTCTTAAAATTTTCAAAAGAGTTGCGATTACAATTTTCATAAATAGATGAATTTCAAAGGTTTCAATTTGAAATTTTAGAAAATTTCAATTTTTAATGAATTTAAATAGAAATTTTAAGAACAACTGATTTCAGAAATTCAATTATTTTCAAAAGTGATAAACTTCTTTGCATAAATTCAATTATGTTCAAAAATTTAAACATAATTTCGTCAAAATTTAAATTATCTTTTTAAATAATAAAATTCTTCTCCGAAATTCAATTATTTTCAAAAAAAATTTAATGAAATTCTTGGCAAAATTTCAATTATTTTCAAAAATTTTCCTCATTTTAATTATCTATTTATTAATATCTACTATTTTAATAAAATTTTCCAAAAGAATTCACAACAATTCAATTATTTTCTAATTTTTTATAAAATTTCTTCGCATCAATTCAATTATTTTTAATTTTTTAATGAAGATTCTCAAAAAAATTCAAATATATTCAAAGCATTGAAAAAATTATGATCTAAGAAATTCAATTATTTCGAAACATTAAAAAATTCTTTTAAAAATTTTATTATTTAAAAAAATTATGACAAAATTCTTTGCAAGATTTAGTTAATAAAATTGCAATTTTAATAAAATTTTTCCTTACAATGCAATTATTTTCAATAAAATTTATTCTTCTTAAGAATTCAATTATTTTCACAAATAAAAATTTTTTTTATGGGAATTCATTTATTTAAAAAAATTTGAATAAAATTCTTCGCAAGAAATTAATTATTTTCATAAATAATAAAAATTTTCTCGAATATTCAATTATTTAAAAAAAAATTGATAAAATGCCGTACAAATTTAAAAAATGATAATAAAATTGATAATAGAATAAATTATTTTCGTAAAATGTAACATTCTTCCTAGGTATACAATTATTGTCAAAAATGTTTGTAAAAATCTTCGAAACAATTTAGTTATTTTCGTAAAAAATAGAATTCTTCGAAGCAATTCAATTATTTAAGAAATTTTAATAAAATTCTGCCCAAGAATTCAATTCTTTTTAAAAATAAAATTTTTCACAGGAATTCTATTATTTAAAAAAAAAATTCAATAAAATTCTTTGTCAGATTCCAGTTATTTTCAATTTTTTAATGAAATTTCTCGATAGAATTTAATTATTTTCAAAAAGTTTTAAAAAATTCTGAGAAATTCAATTATTTAAAAGAATTTGAATAGAATTCTTCACAAAGAAATTAATTATTTTCATAAATAATAATATTTTTCTCCGGAATCCAATTATTTTCACAAATAAAATTTTTCACAGGAATTCAATTCTTTAAAAAGATTTTTAATAAAATTCGTTGCAAGAATTCAATTATTTTTATAAATAACAAAAGTTATCGCAGAATTTCAATTATTTTGTATACAATTTTAAATAAAATGATAGAAAATTGCATTTATTTTTAAAATTACTTTTTAAATTCGCTGAAAGAAATCAATTATTTTTAAAAATTTATGAAATTCTTCATAAAAATTCAATTTTAAGAAATATTCAATTATTTAATAAATTATTTATTTTTGTATTGCTACAAAAAAATATTTAATAGGTAATTAACTAAGGGGTTATAATTTATAATAATAATTATATTATTATATAATATATTACTTTTATATTTATTATATATTGTTACTAGTCAAAATCTGTACTACTTACAACCGAAACATGGACGGGGATATTATTGACATTATTTTTCTTTTATTTTTTGTTTGAATTACTTAAAAATTAAATTGTTTTTTATTTTAAAAATAAATTTTACTTAAACTGAATTGTAAAAATATGAAATTTAATAATTTTCAAAGACATTTTATTAAAATTTAACACTCATAAACCTTCCAATTTCTTTTCATTTTTTTTTATTTTTCTTTTCTCTTACATCTTATTTTTTTCAGAATTAATTTTTTTGGATAATTTATTATGTGTAAAAAAATCAAAATAAACATTGAAACTTAACCTTCAGTTTTATTTATTAACAGTTTCTATAAAAAAGTGAGAATCGACAACTGCATACTTAATAATTTCTTTTCTAAAAACTTTTGGTCGATTACGGTCGACCGTAACTGACAAATATTTTTACATTATCATTGCAATAACGTATTTTTTTAACTAATTTTCACTATAAAAATGAAATATAAATAATAAATCCGAATTTTTAATCCAAAATCATATTTTTGATTTTTGTCAAAATATCTAATTAATTTTTTTGTTGAATATTGTTTAATTTTTTTTAAAGTTAGTATTGATATCGGTTGATGTTTAAAAATTTTAAATTATGTCCATGGATTATGGACGACCCCAAAGAAACGTGGAACATATACTTGTAGATTTAACAATTGTTTAAATAAATAATTTTCCAAACATAAATTTTTCTAAATATGCAAATAACTAAGCTGGGCAATAAGATATTAAGATATTTTAAAGATTTAACAATTCAACAATTGTTTAAATAGATAATCGTTATTTACTAACTCCACTGTAAAATAAAGGATCTAAAGTAGACCTGATTACGGTATTAAAAGAGAACCAAATTACAATTTATTACCAACATTGGTATTAAATTATTTAAAATTTGGAGTTTCTTCAGCTAACCATGTTTCTACAAAGAAAAGTAGTAATCAAAAATAATTTCCAATTTCGCATTCGTAATCAACGATCCAAAAAATTAAAATTAACCCAAATTAATCAAACTGAAATAGTTGCTTTAATTAAAATTCCAGGTGCACAGCCAGTCAGATCAAAGTTTTCCACGTTTGGGGCAAATGATAATGGATTATGATGCGCCATTAAAAAAACTCTCAGAGGAATTTGTACCACACTCGAAGCTACTGAAGAACGCTTTAACATCATTGTGGCCAATATATCCTGGCAGAAATTTAACAGCCGACACTTGGAGAGCGGATCAGAAACTCAGTTTAGTGGGGAGTCCAGGACAAATTTTAAAGGCAGCAGCGACTGATACAATGTCATGCGAAACATTGAGTTTGGAGCGCGTCGAAAGATGGATTATTCTTGGCTTTACTCTCTGTCATTCGTTTCTTAATCAAGAACAGCCGAATCAACTTTGGACAACTGCGCTGGAATCCGGCTGGGTTCTTGCTCTCTTTCGAGATGAAGTCATTTACATTCACCAGTACATCCAAGCCTTTTTCGAAGGCATTAAAGGCTACGGCAAAAGAGTCTCCGAGGTGAAGGAATGTTACAATCACGCGATTCAAAAAGCTGGCTATCGTCACAGAGAGAGGAGAAAATTCCTCAGAACGGCTCTCAAAGAACTGGGGCTAATTTTAACTGATCAACCAGGTCTTCTAGGACCGAAAGTGCTGCTGATTCTAATGGGCCTCTGTCACTCTAGAGACGAAGTTTTCTGGCTCCTGCGACATCGAGTCAATCCTCCTAATCAGGGCAAAGGCAAAGGTCGTGGTGGCGAAGACTTGGTCGACAGACAACTACCAGAATTACTCTTCCATTGCGAGGAGCTTCGGGCTCTCGTTAGAAAGTACTCTCAAGTTCTTCAGAGATACTACGTGCAATTTCTCTCCGGCTTTGATGCACCTGCACTGCACCAAATGATTCAGAATCTTCCCGTCTGCCCCGAGGAAGAAGGGGCAATTTTAAGCGACTTGTGCTCTCAAATTGCGAGTCTCACAGTGAAACAAGTCGAGGACAATGAGCTATTTGACTTCAGGGCTTTTAGACTCGATTGGTTTAGACTTCAGGCTTACATGTCGATCGCCAAGAGTGGAATGAATCTGGCCGAGAATAGGGAGCTCACATCCTTTATGGATACCGTTATCTTTCACACAAAAATGGTCGATAATCTAGATGACGTGCTTGTTGAAACTTCCGATCTTTCAATCTTCTGCTTCTATAGTAAAATTTTCGAGGATCAGTTTCACATGTGCCTGGAATTTCCAGCTCAGAATAGATACATCGTTGCTTTTCCTCTCATTTGTAGCCACTTTCAGAGTTGTACCCACGAACTATGCCCAGAAGAACGTCATCATATTAGAGAGAGAAGTTTGTCGGTGGTCAACATGTTTCTCGATGAAATGGCAAAAGAAGCCAAGAACATTATTACAACAATCTGTGACGAGCAGTGTGATATGAGCGATAAACTTCTTCCGAAACATTGCGCGATTCTTATCTCTCAAACTTTGAATCGTAAAAAGAAGGATAAAAACAAGAAGAACATGATTGAAATTCACAAACCGGGAATTGAGAGTTACAGAAAAACTAGAGAAGAATTGACGACAATGGATAAATTGCATATGGCCTTAACTGAACTTTGTTACGCTATTAATTATTGTCCTACAATTAACGTTTGGGAATACACATTCGCCCCAAGAGAATACCTTCATCAGCATTTGGAGAACAGGTTTGCTCAAGCTTTAGTTGGAATGGTTATGTTCAATCCGGATACGAGTGAAATTGCAAAACCGTCGGAATTATTTGTCAGCGTTCGAGCCTATATGAATGTTCTTCAGACTGTTGAAAATTATGTTCACATTGATATTACGAGGGTCTTTAATAATGCGTTACTGCAGCAAACACAACCTTTGGATAGTCATGGAGAGAAATCGATTGCAGCTCTTTATACTCAATGGTATTCGGAAGTTTTACTAAGAAGAGTCAGTGCTGGGAATATTTGCTATTCTGGCAATCAAAGAGCTTTTGTCAGTCTCACTGTTGAAGGAGCGATTCCTTTTAATGCTGAAGAGTTCTCAGACATTAATGAACTAAGGGCTTTAGCAGAACTTATTGGACCTTACGGTAAGAGTTCTTTTCTACTTTTTGTTATACATATGGAGCCAAAACATTTTTTATTTATATGGGGCATTCCACGCCAACTCGGAAATCATTTTGCCTTTGCATCTCAAATTTTTTTTTAAACATTTTTTTTTCTTTTAGTACTCTTTGAAATGAGCTACCTTGAATTTTTTCAAATTCTTTCATAAAGCGGTTCAGGAGATACAGATTTTTGAAAAATGATGTTTTTTACGTAAATTTTTTTAAATGCTTATAACTCAGTCAAAAATTAATCAAATTTTCGTATGGAACTGCCCTAATAATAGTTTAATAATTACACATAAGTTAATAAACAAGAATGTTGAAAAAATGATATTTTCCACAATTTTTGATTTTTCAAATACAAATAATTTCATAATTTCTGACCGAATCAGATTCAAAAATAGATCAATCGAAGCCTTTTGTAATGCTCTTCAAGTTGGTAATAATATTTTTAAAGTTACATACTTCTACATAATTTAAAAAAATTTTCATAAAAGTCTTATTTTACAAAATTTTAGATTTTAAAATTTTACATATCTCTGGCTAATATGGACGAAAAATGTTCAATGAAGGCTCAAAAGATGCGTTTGAAAAAACTCTATAAAACTAAAGAAAAACATTTATAGGTGTCCTAACATTTTTTTTAAGTTATGGCTAAAAAACTTTTTTTTACAAAACGAAAAATGCAAAAAAATATAAGTAGTTAAACTTTATGAATCGGGCTGAAAATACTCTCATTTTATGTCCCCCGAGGAGACCTACAATTTAAAAAAAATTGAAGCCTTTAGCTCTTTCTCGTTCTGGGATATTGAGACAAATGTAATGTTAGTACACACACACACATCGGGACATTCTTTTTAAATCCGTTTTTTGGGCTTCTGAGGTCAAATTACATCGAAATTTTTATTTATTTATAACATTTATACGGGCAGTGCCCATTCGTACATAAAGTACTAAAAGATTAGGTTTCATGAAAATAAGTTTATAAATATGTCAAAAAATCACAATCCAAAATTTTGCTAATACAATCCTTCCTCTATGAGGAAGCAAAATTGTTAATTTAGTGCTAGTTTCTTACAAAAAATTTTTTAAAAAATTGATCAATACATACATTGTTAAAAATTAAATTTTATTTTTAAAATTTTATCGTAAATTATTTTTAAATTTTTTAAAAATATTTTTATTAAAAATCATTGACTTAAATCGAATCAGTTTTGAAAAAGTTTAACCTTTTGATATGAAGAAAACTTTGATCATATGCAAAATGACTAAATAAACAATTTTTGTAAGATTCAAATTGTTTTCTTGAAAATTGATATTTGTTCTTCCAGAAGATACGAATAACAATAATATTAAAAATTCTTTAATGTCAATTCAATATTTTTTCTGAAGGTCTGCATATCTGTAAACAACCTCCTTAAGACGAATGAACTTTATTTTATAAATGTTAAATTGTATTAAAAATTATTTAAAAATTAAATATACTTGTCGTTAATGCTTCCTACACGAGAAAGCAAATTTTTTTTGCTGATCGTAGAGAGGAAGCAAAATGTTCATGTAATGAACATCTGGATTTACAACTTGTACTATTTTAAATTAATTAATCGAAAAATTCAATTATTTTCACAAATAAAGTTTTCAACAAGAATTGAATTATTAAAAATAAAATTTTGATAGTATTTATTATATTTCGAAATAATTAATTATTTTAAACAATTTTTTGCTAAAATTCTTATGAAGAATTTAATTATTTTCAAAAATAACAAAATTATTCACAAAAATTCAATTCTTATTAAACATTTTAATAAAATTCTTCTCAGGAATTCAATTATTTTTGAAAATTTTAATAAATTCTTAGCAACTATTCAATTATTTCATAAATAATAAAATTCATTGCAGGATTTCAATTATTTTTAATACAATTTTACAGGAATTGCTCCAAAAATGTAAATATTCTTAAAAATTTAATTTCAATTCGTCGAAAAAATCAATTATGTAATAAAATGTTTTATTAAAATTCTTTGGAAGAATTCAATTATTTACAAAAATATTAGAATTTTTCACAGGAATTCAATTATTTTCAAATATTTTAATAAAATTGTTCGAAAGCAATCGATTATTTTAAATACAATTCTAATTAAATTTTTTTGTTATAATACAATTATTCTTGTAAATTTTAATAAAATTCTTCCCAAGAATTCAATTATTTACATACATAATTCTTCGAAAGAATTTAATTATGTCTATATATATATAAATCTATAATCTATAATCTATATTATAATCTATATCTATAATCTATATTGAGCGGATGGGAAGAAGAACTCGATGTGACGCTCCGCTGCACGCTGTATTGTCAGTCAAGAGTTCCAAATGCCAATAAAATTAAAGTTTGAAATTTTGAATTTTAAAAAGTGCTACATTATAGAAAATAAAGAGGCGCATCTTTTTTTCCTTTGAATTTTTTTTATAGAACAATTAGTTTAAATAGTAAGTGCAAAAAACTAAAAAAAATTTATTTTTATTTTTCATTCAATTTTAAAACATAAATCATCGTAGTTAAGACAAATATTGATAAAATTAATCGGTATTTGATATACAAACTCGTTAGGGTCTATAGAAGACGATAACATATCAAAAAACTTAAAAATTATTAATTGTTTAATAATATTTAATTATTATTAATGATCTACCAGCAATCACATTTTCTTACCTTCGCCGACAAAAAGTCAGTGGGGAAGTTTCGAATTAAAAGAACTTCCAGTGAGTCATTTGTTCTTCAATGTATAAAGATGTTTTCTGAAAAATTTCAAATTGATTTATTAAAAAGTTTAGAAAATATCGAAGTTTAAACAAATTGCGCGTGGCGCGCTAGCGAGTCGCCGTGTATAGAGAATTATATTCTGTGTATAAATGATCTGCTTTTCATAACTTTTACATATACATTTATTTACTATCGCAAATAAATTGTTTTCAATTATATTAAACTTTTATAATAATAAATAATAAAATTATTTAAACATTTTTTAAATGTAATATATAATATTGAAACCTTATATTAAATTATTATAATTAAACACATTTTAATATGTGAAAATAAAAATAAATAAAATATTTTTTAAATACTAATAAATGTTAATAAATAACTCAAACTAATGTTAAGGTATTTTAATAACATATTTAATAAAATACTAGATATACATTAATTAAATTTTTCCTCTTTTCTTTTGACGCATCATAATATTTCCTTTTTCGTTCTAATGACATATTTTAACAATAACGTTAAAGGTAATATTTCACATTCTTAAAGCGTAAAAATTTTTAACAATAATTTGTAACGTAAATAACGAAATAATTACGAACTATCAATAATAATTTGTAAATAAGAAATTTAAATATTGAAAATGGAAAGTTTGAAAATATTTTCTTGTCCACATTATTATTATAGATATTTGAAAATTTTATACATAAAAATATTTTTAAATAACAAATTAATAAGAAAAATATTTATTCATATAGGTAACATAAATAATATTTTATTCTATTCATTTAGTAAAAATTTATTAATTTAAACATTGAATCAATTTTAATTTATCAATATAAATAAATTGAAAACAATTTATTTGCGATAGTAAATAAATGTATATGTAAAAGTTATGAGAAGCAGATCATTTATACACAGAATATAATATACACGGCGACTCGCTAGCGCGCCACGCGCAATTTGTTTAAACTTCGATATTTTCTAAACTTTTCAATAAATCAATTTGAAATTTTTCAGAAAACATCTTTATACATTGAAGAACAAATGTCTCACTGGAAGTTCTTTTAATTCGAAACTTCCCCACTGACTTTTTGTCGGCGAAGGTAAGAAAATGTGATTGCTGGTAGATCATTAATAATAATTAAATATTATTAAACAATTAATAATTTTTAAGTTTTTTGATATGTTATCGTCTTCTATAGACCCTAACGAGTTTGTATATCAAATACCGATTAATTTTATCAATATTTGTCTTAACTACGATGATTTATGTTTTAAAATTGAATGAAAAATAAAAATAAATTTTTTTAAGTTTTTTGCACTTACTATTTAAACTAATTGTCCTATAAAAAAAATTCAAAGGAAAAAAAGATGCGCCTCTTTATTTTCTATAATGTAGCACTTTTTAAAATTCAAAATTTCAAACTTTAATTTTATTGGCATTTGGAACTCTTGACTGACAATACAGCGTGCAGCGGAGCGTCACATCGAGTTCTTCTTCCCATCCGCTCATATATAATATAGATATATTATCTATAATCTATATATTATAATCTATAATCTTTTATATATATATAAATTTATATATAAATCTATATTTATATATAAATTACAAAATTATTCCCAAAAATCGAATCATTTCAGGGAATTTTAATAAAATTCTTTTCAAAATTCAATTATATTTAAAAGTAATAAATTTCTTCTTGGAGATTCAATTATCCTTTCTAAAAAAAGACATGGGATAAAAGAATCGAATGCACTCGAAAGTGTAACTCGAAAAGTATCGAAAAGATTAAGCATCGGTAATATGAATAGAAGGGCGAACTCATGTTTCCAAATGAAATTGTAGTACATTAAAAATTCACATATATTTAAGAGATGGAGCTGCAGTCTGAAATTATTCTTTTACTACTAAATAAATAATAATATACGGGTTCGTCTATAACCTGTTTATGTTCAAAATAAATAAATAAATAAATAAATAAATATAAATGATAAATAACATATAATTTGTAATTAAAAATATAATTAAATTAATAGAAAATTTTACACTTAAGCAAAAAAATATTTTAAGGGGACATTCCAGTTCAAAATGTAAAAAAAATCGATTTTTTTTTGTTTTTATTTTCGGATTTCTTATAGTGTCAAGAATACTCTCCTAAAATAATATTGCAAAATTCGAAGTAAAACAAAAATTATACATCCTTATTCTTCGCCATGTCAAAGATGTTTTTGTATGCGGATAAGCAATCGAATGATTTAAATGTTTTCTCATTTGCATTTTTTAAAAAAGACAAACAAAAATGTATTTGGTGTTGCTGATCACAAATTAGATATCAAATTTTCAAAATTCAAAATAGCGGATCCAATATGGCGAAAAAGACAATTTTTTAATTTTAATTTTTTTTTCGTTTAATTTTTTTTTTCGTCTACTATATTGCATCCGACATTTTTAATTTTAAAAAAATGATGTCATATTCGTAATCAGCGACCCCAAAAACCCCCCCGTAACGATTTTGAAGCAAATTCAATGATTTTGAAAAAAAATGTCCGCCATATTGGATCCGCCATTTTGAATTTTAAAAATCTGATTCCATATTCGTAATTAGCGACCTCAAAAACCCCCGAGTAAAGATTTTTAAGCAAATCCGATGATTTTTTAAAAAAAATTTCGAAACTTATGAACAAATCTTTAAATGCGTTTTTCTCAAAATGTCTTTTTTTGATCTGGTAAGAGTGATATCTCGAGTTCTTCTGAAGCGATTTTAAAAAATCAAACGGCTTTTGATTCAGCGACATCATGCCTATAAGTGAAACCTCAAAAACTGGAAAATTTCCAACTCCCCTTCTTTTTATAAGAGAAATTCTGAATAAAAACACCTTTTTTTTGCTTATTTTTGGGAAAACGTACTCTAAAAAAGGGGGGAAAGAAAATTCCACTTTTTTGAGGTTCCACACCTAAAGAATTATCTAACGAAGAGAATGTCACTTCGTTTTTGGTTTTATCTATTTTAGAAAGTTTTGAATCGATCTTACCACCGAAAATGGGCATTTTCGAAAATGGCGTATATCGCCGCCATTTTGAAATAAAAATAAAAAAAAAAATTTTTTACAAATTCTTAAATAAATTATTTATTACATGTAAAAGAAATTTTTTAAATAAATGTCATAGTTATTTTAATAATATATACTAAAAAAAGCCTTCTTTTTGCCTGTTTTGAACTGGAATGTCCCCTTAAGTAAAATAGAATTTTATTTAAAACATTATTAAATTGAAAAAATTAACATTAAAACTTTTAAAAATTGAACAAAAATGAACATGGCATAGAAGCAACGTAGACGGCCGAAGGCCGTCTGAGGCGCTAGTTTTAAGAAATCATAATAAAATTGTTCGCAAGAATTCAATTATTTTCATAAATAATAAAATGCTTTTTAGGAATTCAATTATTTTCAAAAAATTTAATAAAATGCGACACAAACATTCAATTATTGTCAAAAATTTTAATAGAATCCTTTGTAAAATTTAATTATTTTAAAAAACTCTTCACAATTCAATGATTTTCAGTATTTACTATTTTCATAAAATTTCCAAACAGAATTCAATTATTTAAAAAAAATTTTTTTTAATCTTGGTAAGAATTCGATTCTTTCTATGAATAATAAAAATTTCTAAAGAATTCAATTATTTAAATTAGAATTTGCATAAAATTAGTCGAAAGAAATGAGTTATTTAAAATTTTCTATATAATTCTTCGTAAGAATTAATTATTTTTATAAATATTTAAATTCTTTCATGAATAATAAAATTTGTTGCAGAAATTCAATTTATTGGCAGGATAAGAAAGAAGTAAATATCTTTTTTATGAAAATTAGGAAAAAGTCAGGAAAATAAAATATAGTATTGGAATTTTTGTCAGTTTTGTGAAGTGTCTAAAACGAGTTTCTTTGGTCGTCAAGATTGATTTTTCGATAGCTACTTTTTTTCGACATATAAAAACAAAAATAATTCTTTTAACAACTAGTAAAATTCAATTTCTGTTACTCTGACATATGGATAAACCAATTTTCAATTAAATAAAATTTTAAGTCTGTCGAAATATTTTTGACTTTTGGCCAAAATTTAGGGAAAATACAAAATAATTTCATTTTATATTTTCCCTAAATTTTCATATTCATACTTTTCGAGATTAAAACTGTAATTTCAATTTCACTTGTTGCAAATCCAAAATGAAATATTCTCAATTTTAGAGGACAGAATACTTAATAATAATTAATTATATAAAATGTATGTATTTACTTCTTTATTTTTCAGGTATGAAAATGTTGAATGAGACTTTAATGTGGCATATTGCAAGCCAAGTTCAGGAATTGAAGAAACTTGTCGCTGGAAATAAAGAAGTTTTAATTGCATTAAGGACAAACTTTGATAAACCAGAAGTGATGAAAGAACAATTTAAAAAATTGCAACAAGTGGACAACGTTCTTCAGAGAGTAACAATAATCGGTGTGATTCTCAGCTTCAGACAACTTTCTCAAGCCGCGCTTGTCGATGTTCTAGAGGAGCGAATTCCATTTTTATTAAGTTCCATTCTCGATTTCAAACATCATCTTCCGTCTGGTGATCCAATGCGTGTGGTGTCTGAAATGACTTCAGCCGCCGGTCTTACTTGCAAGGTCGATCCCACCTTAACCACAGCCCTTCGAAGTCAAAAGGCTGAAGTTGATGAAGATGAGCATATTTTAGTTTGTCTTCTAATGGTTTTTGTAGCGGTTTCAATTCCTAAACTCGCTAAAAATGAAAACTCATTTTATAGAGCATCTCTTGAGGGTCATTCGAATAATATTCACTGTATGGCCACGGCAATTAATAACATTTTTGGAGCATTATTCACGATCTGTGGTCAGAATGATATTGAGGACAGAATGAAAGAGTTTCTTGCCTTAGCTTCTTCCAGTTTATTGAGATTAGGCCAAGAAGCTGATAAGGAAGCAACAAGAAATAGAGAATCAGTTTATCTTCTTCTCGATCAAATTGTTCAAGAATCTCCTTTTCTCACTATGGATTTGCTTGAAAGTTGCTTCCCTTATGCATTAATTCGTAATGCTTATCATGATGTTTACAAATTGGAACATGCTCAACCTTAAAAAAAGACTCTTTGAAAGTCAAAACGTAATCGAAATTATTTTTTATTTATTTCTTTATTACAATTTATTTCAAATTAGATAAATTTAGTTATTTGACATGATAAATTTGTCAAAAATGTAAGCTTTGGAAAATTTAAAAAAATTGTATAAAAACGTTTTCAATGAGATGCTGTAAAGCCAGCGAATTTGCAACTATTTGCAACTTATGGAAAAATGCAAAGTGTACAGTTTTTAAAATGTAACGTATTATTTATAACTAATTTTATTGAAATATTGTTTCTTACACTGTTTTTTTCTTATTCTTAAGAGATTTCTTTCATCTTTTGTATCGAGAAACGTTACCTTATTAATTTTTGAAATATTTTTTATTATCATTATATAATGTTTATACAAATAATATTTTTCTTCATATGCTCGAAAATGGAGCTTTTGTGCTTTTGGAATAAAAAGTATCGTAAGTAACACACGGCTAAAGCAGTCAACGTAAACAATGTCTGTCTTGGCCCCTTGTTGCTTAATTCACTGTTAAATAATTATTTTTGAGAAAAATTTCTTTTAATTATTTGCAGCAAGGGCTCGAACTAGGTCCGTAAATCCTGTAAAAATTTGTAAATTTGCTTCAAGTCCGGAAAAGACAGTTTTTTTGAAAGAAGGTCTGTAAAGTCCGTTATTTGATAGAAAAAGGACGAAAGTTCGTAAATTGTACTATATAATTCGGAGAATTTTAGAGAAATTACAAATGATTGCAGAAATTCAATTATTTTCAAAAGTTATAAAATACATCGCAGAAATTCAATTATGTTCAAAAATTTTTTAAAATTCTCGTCAAAATTTCAATTATCTTTAGAAATAATAGAATTCTTCTTCGAAATTCAATTATTTTCAAACATTTTAATAAAATTCATGTCAATTTCATTTATTTTTAAACATTTTTCTCAATTTAATGATTTTTAATATATCTACAATTTAAATAAATTTTTTTAAAAGAATTCAATTATTTCAAAAAATATTAATAAAATTCTACGCAAACATTTAATTATTTTCATAAAATAATAAAAATTACACAGGAATTCAATTGTTTACAAATTTATTTTATAAATTTCTTCTAAATAGTTCAATCATTTTCTTAAATAATAACAATCATCCCTGAATTTCAATTCTTTTTAATAAAATTTTAATGGAATTTCTCGAAAAGTATAATTATTCTTAAAACTTTTATTAAAATTCGTCAAAAGAATTTAATTATTTAAAAATTTGTTGATAAAATTCTTTATGAGAATTGAATTATTTAATAAATTATTTTTTTTATTTTAATAATTGAATTCTAGTAGAATTTTCTAATAAAAATTGATTTAAAAATGAATTTTACTTACAATTTTACATTATAATTGAAGTCTTCCTAGAGAATTCAATTATTTACAAAAATTTTGATGAAATGCTTTATAAATTTGAAAAATTATAATAAAATTGATCATATAGAATACAATTATTTTCGTAAAATATAAAATTCTTTCTAGGAATACAATTATTGCCAAAAATGTTTTTTATAAACATTTTTGTCAATAATTTATTATTATAATCTTTATTTTTAAATTTTATAATCTTCGAAACAATTCAATTATTTTCGTAAAAAATAAAATTCTTCGAAGCAATTCAATTATTTGAGAAATTTTAATATAATTTTTCACTGGAATTCAATTATTTAAAAAAAAAATTTAATAAAATTCTTTGTCAGATTTCAATTATTTAAAAAAAATTGAATAAAATTCTTCACAAGAAATTAATTCTTGAAAAATTTTCTAATAGAAACTGATTAAAAAATGAATTTCAGTTAAATAAATTATAATTGAATATTTTTAATTATTTCTTCATACTTTTCACTAATAATTCTGTAGAATTAATCTTTTTGAAAAAATTTATTTCAATTTTACTTGAAATTATTTTTTTGAAGGTTTTATTTTCTAATACCTATATATTTAATTTTAAAAAATTTCCAAATAATTTAAATTTTGGAAAATTGAATTGTAAACAAATGAATTTGAAAATTTTTAAAGAACTTTTACAAAAAATTATTAAAAATAATGGATTTATAGATGAATTTTAGTTAAAAACACTAGAAAAAAATTGAATTTTGAAGAAATTACAAATTATTACAGAAATTCAATTATTTTCAAGAGTTATTTGTTTCTTCGCACAAAATAAAATAGTGTTCAAAAATAATAATATTCTTTTTAGGAATTCAATTATTTTCATAAATAATAAAATTTTAAAATTATTTAAAAATTTGTTGGTAAAAATAGCGTCAATTTTTAGAAGTAACTGAATTTTGAAATTAATTTTTTTTGGAAAAGTTTAATTGAATTTTTTTTATATTGTTTGAAGTTTTAATTTTCTAATATATATATTTAATTGAAGAATTTACGAATAATTGAAATTTTGTAAAATTGAATAATATAAACAAATGAATTTGAAAATTGTTAGAGGTCTTTTTCGAAATTAATTGATTTAATGAAGAATTTTAGTTAAAAATTCTTAAAAATAATAATTGAATTGAAATAATGAAAATAATTTTGAAGAAGTAGGTACAATATTCTTAAAATATGTATAAAATAATGATTTTATCACTGAGCCATCTTTAATTATTATAAAACATGAAGAAATCAATAATGAAAAATTTAATTTATAGTTTTAGGTAAAATTTTCTCTTTTTTGCCTCGGACTACTTATATTTTTGTTAGTAATTGGTCCGTAATTTTTCATTTTTGGTCCGTAAAGTCCGCATTATTAAATACTCTTGCTGGTTCGAGCCCTGTTTGCTAATCATAAAATTTAAATGTCTACAGTTTTTGCAAATGTTAATTAAAATTTTTCTACTGCTTCTTCTTTTTTTAAATTAATTTTTATTCCATCGCCAAAAATATTATATTTCAATATCAAAAATAAACCAAATGATCAAAAAAAAAAGTATCTATATTTTTTCATAGACTTCAAAGTTACTTTTGTCTAAAGTACACTCGAATGTCAGTTTAGTGGACTTTTTAGGTTGTGATGTACGAGACGACACTACAGGAAGTCTTATTTTATGTCAGTAAAGTATCAAAAAAGTGGTTTTGAATTGAAAATTTATAGTTAATCAAAATAAAAACAACATTATTACATTCTAGGAATAAAAATTTTTATTCTGAAGAATTATATAAAAATAATATGTAAAAATGCTACCTAAAAAAGTTTGTTAATAAATAGGTACTTTCATGAATATTAATGCACGTTCCTGATTTTCTTTGACCTGGTTCATCAAAGATTCTGTTCGCTTTAGCGGAAGACTCCCCCAGACAGTCCGTTAAACCGGCGTTTGGGTGTATTAAAATTTAACAGATTTTTACGAAGTTAAGAAATCTTACATCATATCTAGTTTATATTATAGTCTGTAAATCAGACTAAAATCTTTTTATGTCTTTACAAGACTAAATCGACTGATTCAACTGAAAAAAATATAAAAAAGAAAATTAACACAAATTTACGTATATGTGAAATAGCTTAAGAAAAACATATTATTTACTTTCAAGATTTATAATCTTTTTTTCACTATATTCCCTTTTTATACTTTGAATAATTGAATAGCAATCTCACATAAGATATGGATACAGATTTAACAATTGTCTATCGCTTAATTTAGTGTCAATTTCTATTTGAAAATGTGATGATATGTGAACTAAAGTCTTGATTATTGTTTAAACAAAAGGTAAACCAAAAGTATTTAATTCCTAAATTTTACGTCAGTATTTGATGTACATCTTTGAAAAATAATTTGTCCAAAACATTCTTCAGCTGCAATGTAATTTTACACTTGGTGAATATTGTATTAATTACAAATTTTTTACATATACGATAATTTTACAATAGTATTTATAAAATAAATAAAATTTAAAAATAACATTTGATCGAATTTAATTTAACCTGTGTAATGTTTTTAAGATTTTAAATGTTTTAGCAACAATTTTTAAGAATTTTAACAATTTAAAAATTGTTTATGGCATAACTAGAGACAAAGTTAGAGCAAAAATTGCGAAAAATTTAGTCAAAAATGCCAAATTTTAGCATGTTTTTGCAAAGAAAAAATAGAAGAATTTTTTTTTGAGAATTTGCACAATAAGGGTTCATTGCAGAAAGGCCTAACGTGTCAGAAAAACGTAGGCTCAGTCGAATCGGATAATTATCATAAAAGTTATAGCAATTTAAATTTGGCTATATGCTAAAATACGCATATTTGCAGAGAAAATTCGTTCTGCCTATTCCTGGTGAATTTTTGAGGGTTGTGACATCATTTTTCGAAATTTATCCATAACTTTTTACGTAATTAATATTTTTTAAATCTTTTGAACTGGAGCATCTCTGGGGGTCACCCTACGTAATTTTAATCGCAAAAAATATTTTTTGCGAAATTTTTTGTGTCTGTGCTTACTAGGTCCTCAACTTATAAAGTTTTAATTCACAATTTTCTAATAAATTTCAAAAAACAACTGTGGAGAATTAGAATGAATCCCACAATGTAAGGTTAAAGAATCACAAAGAATTTAAAACACACAAAAAGTTTATTAAGGAATGTCAAAAGTTTTCTGCTACAGTTAAGATAAGCTCTACACGAATCGATGACAATTAGACAAAGGATTCTTTCGCGACAGTCAAACGGTTTTGCCTCGTCAAAGGTTCGACGCCTTCTGTCCCTGATTTACCCCGGAGGAGACGCGTTTTCCTCGAGAGACCGTTGGTCCCAGGATCTCTCTTTTTAAGGATCACCATGTGTTTTCCACATGGTTCTTGGCTGGTGGATATGAAATGTATGAAATGTTTTAATTTTAATGAAAATCGGTATTTGGGGGTTTTTGAGGTTGCTGATTGCAAATCTGAAATTATTTTTTGAAAATTCAAAGTGGTGGATACAAAATGCTAGAAATAAAACACTTTAAATTTAGAGCATCAAATAACATTTATTATTTCAGATTAAATATTACAAATCATATAATCATTTGTTAGTCGACATTAATATTCGTCGTCTGAAGAGTGTGCAGATTCATCTTCAAAACTTGATGGTGAATTAGTATACAAATTTGTATCATCAGGTGTTGGCGCTTTTAACAGATTAATCGCATCACTTTCTAAAGTTTTTAGCTTTTTTGTCGGTAATTTTCGTAAACTTGATATTAATGAATCTGATGATACTAAAAGTCTACAAAAGATGTCTTCCATATTTTTAGCACGAGAAGTTTTCCG